ATGTCCCTGACTTCCATCTTGTCTCTGTGGGTCGGTTCCACCTCCAGCCCCACCAGCATTCACTTGAGCCATTGTTGCAGTCATGGCGGCTGTAACTGCTGCCTGAAACATGACGGGGTCGAACTGTGGGGGTGGTGGTGGTGGCGGAGTGTTGTCGTTCCTTCTGATGGGTCTTGGTCGAGGAGGCATCTTGTTCTAGAAACAATCAGGGAGAAGAGGATGGTAAGTCCTCGAGATATAAAACAAAAAATATATCTCATCCTGATAATGAAAGTATTCTACCGAGCGATAAACATAGAAAGGTTACTAATACAAGTAAGTTATCGCTTAAGGAAGGAGAGGTAGCAACACTTAGAGTGAATCTGTATACTGAGTTTGGCTCTAGCGAAAATACTCCTATAGCATTTTATGTGAGATGATGTTTGGTAAGTTTTAGGCCTGCTGTAACACCACAGTCACTCCCAAGCACATGTTGGTCATGTCTCGACTGAATATAGTTGATCAGGCTATATTCACCCTAGACATGATTACATAACTGCCTAGGTTTAACCGCAACGTTCCAACATCCAAATACTTTTGTTCTTTTCTACTAGCAACATGAATTTTGTTATGTATGCATGCTCGTATACTTTTATACAGATACTTTATATTTTGAAAGTATACTTTTAGCGTAGAGCACTTAGGCCCCTTAGTGTTTATAGTTGTATACCACGTAAGGTTCGGTATACTAGTTCGCTATAAACAAGGGCTCTAATACCAATCTGTCACACCCCGAAACCGATGGCGGAAACGTTCCGGGGCGGAGGACGTCATGTATAGCATCACAACCAATGAATAACAGTAATCATAGCAACACAACCATTACAGTGAATACTTAAGTAAAAATGTTTACATCAGTTTGAAACTTAGTTTAAATTACATCCAATAGTTTTGTATAGTAAAAACTTAAAAACTCTTAACGCTTCAATTCCTCAAAATCCAGCAAGTACCTGTCTACTGATTTCCTGAGAATACAAGCAGTTTGAAAATATCAGCATAAAGCTGGTGAGTTCATAAGCGGTAATTTGTAATGAAAACTTGTTGATGAGCTAGTCAAAAGTTGTAAAGTTTCCAGAAAATCTGATATTTTCTTTAGTGAAAACGTAGTGTTATAAGTCTTGTAATGAACCATGAATTTCTTGTATGTTTCCAAGAAAATCCAATATTTTCTTTAGTGAGTAAGTAGCGTTATCGATTTTGTATAAAACCATGAATGTTCGTTACTGAAAACAGTAGTGACATGCGAAAAATACTACCTCATGTGACTAGCTAGAGCTAATCATGAAGTATAGGTATTTGTGTGTGAAACCAATGCATAATCGGTTCTGTTTGAAAACCCTGACTTCGGCCAGTATACGTATTGTGTGTTAGTTCTATTTAATATAAATAAAACCGTTGAAGTGTGTCAGATTGTAAACTAAAGGTGATTTATACATAATGTGAGTCGTATAACCATGCTTTATATGACTAGTGACCTTTCGAACGTTCTTCAGGCGTCGATTTAAATGACATTTGTACATCTCAGGCGTGCCCGCCTAACTGTAGCTAGCAGTCCAGATGTGGGATTGTCAGTCCCGAATAGATCTATTCACAAATCTCACGCTCTCCCTCCAGGAGACTCTGGTTATATAGTGGTAGGATTGATCCCTGTACACCTAAGGGTACAGTAGTGAAGTAGCGCCTCATAGTATCGTACAATCTAGTTTACATGTAGTGTAGTAGCGTTCTACCGTAGTAAAAATCCGTATGTATACTGTATATAATGATAATTACAGTTATGAAAACCATGATAAAGTGGTGATGTAACTGTAAACTATTTCTGTCTCCATGCATATGTTTAACGGTGAAAATTTATGTACTCGTGATGTTTAGAAAATCCCAAACTATACCGATTATAGTTTGCATGAATAGTGAATAGCGTGTCCGAAAAACTATGCAAATTTTTGTGAAAACGTCCCTTATGCTCAACACAGTACAAAAGGGTTAAAGTATGAGATTTGCATAAGTTTTGAAAACATTTATGTTTAGCTTGTATTCCCCCCCTGAAAACATTAGAAATACGGAAAATGTAGGGGTATGAACTCACAGTTGTTGTATGAAATCGTTGACTGAAATGAAGATCCTCGAGTTGTTGCACGTGACAATTAACGAAATCCTATTATCAAATAAATACATATATGTATCTAAATTAGCGATTTCGATAAATAAAGTGTCATAAGAACACTTGTATTCGGTTGAGGAATGTTACCGGGACTTGATCGAATCAAAGAGAGTGAGTTTTCAGTCAAAAGCACCACCAAAAAGGTGTTTACGGTCGAGGAGGAGTTTACGGTTCTTGAAGGCTTGGACCGTAAACTCAAGAACAGAGTTTACGGTTTCTGAAGACTTGGACCGTAAACTCAAGAAAAATGGTTCTGATTGCTGATTTCGAAGAGATAATCGTTTCCAGGCGTTCCCAAGTGACTCCAAACGTGGTTTCTCGATGATTTCCGAAGTTTGAAGGCGTTTTGAGTGTTTACGGTTAAGGTTCTTAGAGAGAGAAGGAGAGAGTTTTTGGCCAGAAATGTTCTAATGAAGGTGGGGGTATCGTATTTATAGGGGTGAGGTGGGGGGTCCACTCATTACTGACCGTAAACAGGTTTACGGTCGTAAACGAGTTTACGGCCGTAAACACGTTTACGGTTGTAATCCCATTTAGACCGTAAATGCTTGATTTTTTCGAGATTTTTGGGTTTCTGCGCGATTTTTGGTTCCGACTCGTAAATAATTTAATTAAATATAACTAGATTATTTTCTAAACCAAAAAGTTTGACGGAAAAGTTAACAAATTCGAAATTTTATTAACGAAACTCGCGTAACGGAAACGGACAAAGTTTCGGGTTGTCACAGGATCTCTGAAAAAGCTGAAGCTCTACCAACTGTTCGAAGAGCTTCAAGGTCATGAATCAAATGTTGCACAAACCTTACGAGAACTCACACGAGGCCCTCTAGCTCTTGTCAGTTCCTATGATCCTCAGATTCCGAACCTCTCGGTCTCGGACCCTTTCACAGTTGTTGTTCCATATATCCCACCTGTTCAACCCTCACCACCAGCCTTACGTGCTCCTATAAACAACAACAATAAATCAAATGGTAACCTCGACCCTGAAGATACGGACTCCAAACTCCGCTTTCAACAGGAGTTTGCTTTACTTTCCATGAAATACAAGTGTCCTTTTAACAAGCCATATCACAACCGTTTCCATGCTCCTCACCAAAGAAATCCTCAACCATTCAACAAACCTTCAGAAAACCCACCAACTTACAAACCTTACCTTCCTACACCAAATCACACCTCGGAATCTTCACAGACTTCGAAGACAGACAAACCCAAGATCGTGTGTCACAAATGTGATCATGCAAACCATTATGCCAAAGACTGTTTGGCTGAAGTTACACAAAAACCCAAGATTAAGGACTCTGCTTATTATGCACGTCGAGCTCAAGAAATGGCAGAGAGTGAAAAGGCTTTTGTTGCCACTGTATATCAAGATAAGTAGAAGGGTATTGGTCTTCTGGAGATGATGATGACCTGAGTACTGGCAGAAATATGTGCCTTATGGCTAGACAGACAGTTAAATGTGATGAAGGCTACTGGTCATCTGGATCAGAGGGAGATTATGAAGATACTGAACCAATCTACTGCTACATGGCTACCAACGACCCACCTGGTAGAAGCATTGTTTAACAGTTAGAATTTATGATTACTGATAATAACTTTGACTTATCTCTCTGTGAACCCTATCTAACCCAGATCCAAACAGATATAAACACCATCTATAAAGCCTATGAGTCTGCTATAGAAGCCAGTGAGAATATGAACAGTGAATTAAGTCGTCTTAGATTACGTTTCGAGGATAAGAATTTAAAAATAGAGTCTTTAGGACGAGAACATGTAATGTCAAAAGATGAATGTATCATTCTTAAAGACAAATGTGAAATCACTTCTTCTGAAAGAAATGTTTTAATTTCGGATAACAAACGTCTCAAGGCCAAAATAGATGCCTTGCATAATTCCATTGACATTCTTGAAGCAAACGAACGAATGACTCATAATTTTCGTCATCCGTGGTCAAAATCTCTTGGTCTCAGAAGCGAGTTTCCGAATCCTATTGCTCATCCCTTGAAGGAGTTGCAAAATCTAACCTTTATGGGAGACGTTCCGAACCGCAAACATTCGGACACCCCTGTCTCACCTTTGTCACCCCTTCTTGAGACCTCTGACCAATTTGCATCACTGATTCATGAGTTTCAGCCTATAGTTGTGAAGTGTCCCGATTTCATGCTTCTTCCGCCTCTGACAAACCTGGACCTGAATCGGACCTCGGAATCCCACTCTAGCATTCCAAACACTGTCGTTCAAATTTCAAACCACAGTCCTCCTAACAACTGTGTTGTTGAGGAAATCATTCTGGAGACAGCTGAACCTGAAACTGCTAAGTTTGTTTGGGCATCTTTAGATAGTGACATTGATGATTCGTTAAATTCATGTGATTCTGACTCGCAAGTGGTTTCCAAAACAAAATTTTTCCCATTCAAGCTTGTGTTTAACAATCCATATTTAGGTCAAATCTCTAAGTCCTCTTTCAACTCTAAAAAGAAACCAATGTTAAGACTAAACTGCACAAATGGTCCCTGTGGTATGTCGAAAATTGCCACTTTAGTCCAAAAAGGTGTGGACTAGCACCAGAAGTCCAAAGTTTTCTTTTTGTTGTAAGTTTGGTCCAATTTGTTTTAAACTTTTTAAAATGCCGATTTTGCCCTTGATATTTTATATTTTTTTATTTACTTAATATTTTTCTAATAAAAAGAATAACAAAAAATAAGTATATACCCCCACCTCCTACTGCTGTGGACCACCACCGACCACCGCCTGTCGGACCACCATCGTCTACCATACCACCTCATCCTGTCGGATCACCCTATTCACCGGAGATCTCCCTTTTCTTCGGACCATCCAAACCAACACCAACGACCTAGACCTGACCACCAATCATACATCTGAACTTCGCCGGAAAATTATAAACAACCACCACCACCAACCGGTACGTCGATCTGAAAACCATCGAAGAACCACAACCGACGCCACCCTTCTTTCTTTCATCGTACCACCACCAGAAACCCTAACCACTTACAGCACCGTCAGAGTTCTTGACGTAGATCTGAACTCCAACGACGAAGGTGTTGGAGACGGCATTGAGCTGTGGTAGTGGCGATCGTTTTCGGCATAGATCTAAACTTACGACATTGAGTTGTGGTAGTGACAATGGTTTCCGACATAGACTTGAACTCCAACGCCATAGATCTGGACTTTCGACAGGGGTGGTGGTGGTTTCTACCATTCCGATCAAGAGGGTTTTCACATCGTTGTTGAGAGAGATAGATCGACGGTGAGGGTTTCAGATTGACTGTGATAGAGATAATCACACAAAGATGACTGTGGCGTTGGTCTTTCAGATATTCACGGGGCTAGGTGGTGGATTCCAGCAATGGCGGTAGTTTTATGGCGGTTGCAGTGATTGTCGGCAGTTGCGGTGGTGTATTCTGGCAGTGGCAATGATTTCCAGCAGTGGAGGTGGTGAATTTCGGCAGTGACAGTGATTTCCGGCGGTGGATTCCGAAGGACAGTAAAGACGAGAGAGAGAGAGAGAGAGAGAGAGAGAGAGAAATTAGAAAAACAAATAAGAAAAAAGGAGAAAATCATATTAATAGGTTCAAATCCGTCATTTTGAAAAAAATCAGAACCGGTTGGACAAAACACGCAACAAAATGAAAGTTTTGGACCACTGGTGATAGTCCAAACTTTTTTGGACCAAAGTGGCAGTTTTCGACATACCACAGGGACCATTTGTGCAGTTTAGTCCAATATTAAATAGGAAAGATGTTGTTGATCCTAAGGTAGAAGCCAAGAATGCTCTCAAAAAGGAAATTAAGTCAAGACAAAATTCCAGATTCCTTGAGAACTCTAAAAAGAATGTATCTTGGACTACCAGTCCATCGACTAGGAGTCACAACACCTTTATACCTGTTAAGATTCTTAAAAGGCCATCTAATCCTCCCAATCAGTCGGAACATAAGAAGGTTGTCAACCCCACCTTGAAAAAGTCCATTGCAGATACTCAACCTGTCAGAACTAACTCTCCTCGGACTGTTTCATCTGTTTTTATAGCCAAATCTGATGGTACGATTTTCAAACCTCAACAGTTTTAAAAACCAAATGTACCATCAAATAAAGAACGAGTCTTTAAGAAAACGGTTTCACAAAAGTCTTCAAAACAAAATCTTGTATGGAAAATAAAATATCTCAAAAATGAAACTACAACTCCGAGAGACACAGTATTTCCCACTACTCGGGAAGTTGCTGGTCCGAGAAAAGTTGTTTCGAAACCACATGTCATTGAGTATGATTATTGGATAAATGAAAGAACTATGGCTTTCAGTTTGTTTCCAAAATGATCTCGGAATAAACCTTCTAAAACAACTGTTGCTCAAAAGTCACAACCAAAGTCCAAAACCCGTGCCCTTGTCCCAAAACCTAACTCGGAGCCTAAAAACTCTACAACTCACTAATTTTGCAGGCACTCTATGCTTCAGAGCAAGAAACAATATGGTATATTGATAGTGCTTGCTCCATGCACATGACAGGGCAGAAGGACTTTCTGCGAGATCTCAAACTTTCACCAAATGTTGTTTACGTGACGTTTGACAACAACTCCAACTCTCAGATCAAAGGTTATGACATCCTTACAAATGGAAATTTCTCCATTTCAATGTGGCATATGTAGCTGACTTGAAGCACAATCTGATAAGTGTAGCTCAACTCACTGATGTAAATCGACGAGTTGAATTCTGCAAAAACACAACTATGGCATGACATATGACCGGAAGGAATGTTTAATCAAGTCAAATCGAAACAAGAACATGTATCCTCTTGACATCAACATGATCATTGGCAAGCCCCAGCTCTGTTTACACTCAAAAGTTGTTCCTGACGTCAGTTGGTTATGGCATAGAAGGCTTGCTCATCTAAACTTCCAATATATGAACGATCTTGTTTCTGGTGAAATGGTAAGAGGTCTGCCACTCTTCAAGTTCAAGAATGATCATTTATGTGTTGCATGCGAGTGTAGAAAGAAATCGAAGAAAGGGTCATCCTCTCATCATTGAAAAATCCATCTCGGTTCCGTTAGAACTTCTGCACATTGATATGTGTGGACCCTCAACAGTAGAGAGTCCACATCACAAAATATACATTCTTGTGATTGTGGATGATTTTACTAGGTTCACCTGGGTCTTCTTCATAAGGCTCAAGTCAGAAACAGCCTCAGAACTCATCAAGTTTATCAAAGGAATTGAAGTTCTCATCAAACTTCCTGTGAGACGAATCCAAAGAGATAATGGTTCGGAGTTGACCAATGCCACCATCGAGAACTTCCTCACCGAGAAAGATATAGACCACAACTTCTCTGCTCCATACACCACACAACAAAGTGGTGTAGTCAAACGACATAACATAACACTTGTTGAAGCTGCTTGATCCATGCTTAACTTTGCAAATCTTCCACTCTATCTTTGGGCTAAAGTTGTCTAAACTGCATGCTTCACTCAGAATAGGAGTATTATCAATCGACGCCTCAATATGACATTGTACGAAGCCATGAACGGTCGAAAGCCAAGTATCTCTTTTCTTCATGTTTTTGGATGCAAATGCTTCATCAAAAACAACCGCGATCAGCTTACAAAGTTCCAACTCAAAGCTGATGAAGCAATCTTTCTTGGGTACTCTGCAAAATCAAAGGCTTATCGAGTTCTTAATCGGCGAACTCGAGTTCTAGAAGAAAGATTTGATGTCACCTTTGATGAGAATTTCGTTCGGAATTCTGGCCCAACCCATGTCACAATGCACATCATGGATTTCGATGCTCCAGCGCCAAGATGTCCGAACCAACAAACAATTTATAAAGTTGACTTTGAAACCCTGTTCGGACCTTCAGAAACAGCTTTTGATTCAGAATCTCGGACAAGACAAACCTCATCAACTGAAGCTCCTGTTTCACAAAATGTTTCAGGTCTGACACCCAGTTCTCCTGCATTTGATTCTGAACCGTTTCAACCTTCTCAAGTTGAGGGGGAGAATGGTCAACCTTCCCTTGAATCAAATGTAGATGGATTCCAAGGTGCAACTAATCAATTTGTTGAATTTGATCCTCCTATCAACAACAATGATGATGCAAATTTCTTTTATTTCCCACCTGAGGATGACGTTAATGTTTCCGGTTCAGAAGTTCAGGGGGAACATCATCCCCAAGTTCAAATTATTCAGGGGGAGCAACTCAACTCCATTGTTGATATAGGATCCTTTGCTGCACAAGAACTCCCGAGACTACACATTTGGACTAAGGATCATCCTCCGAACCAAGTTCTTAGAAATCCAAACGTTGGTGTACAAACTCGTTCTGCCACAAGTGTTCAAAATGAATGTCATTTCTCGGCATTTATCTCATTGGTTGAACCAAAATCCACTAAGGAAGCATTAGAACATGCGGACTGGATTACAACCATGCAGGAAGAAATGGCAGAATTTGATAGAAATGAAGTGTGGACTCTCGTTCCTCCTCCTCAGAATCATCCCATTGTCGGTAAAAGATGGGTGTTTCAAAACAAGCTAGACGACGCAGGAGTTATCATTCAGAATAAAGCAAGATTGGTGGCCAAAGGATTCACACAGATCGAAGGGCTTGACTATGATGAGACATTTGCTCATGTTGCCCGTCTTGAAGCCATCAGAATCTTTCTTGCTTATGCAGCTCACAAAGGCTTTAAGGTTTACCAGATGGACATCAAAAGTGCCTTTCTTAATGGTGAACTGGATACTGAAGTATATCTTCAACAGCTTCCCGATTTTGTCAATCTCACATATCCTAACTACTGCTATAAACTCCGAAAAGCCGTTTATGGCCTCAAGCAAGCTCCTCGCGCCTGGTTTGAGACTCTCACCGACTTCCTCAAGCGTTCTGGTTTTTAAAGAGGTATTCTCGATCCTACCCTGTTCCGAAGGTCAAATGGAAAACATCTCATGCTTGTCCAAATTTATGTTGACGACATCATTTTTGGATCCATGGATTCATCAATGGTTGCTGATTTTGCCAAATTAATGGTCAATCGATTCCAAATGAGTATGAATCGTGAATTAAGTTTCTTCCTTAGTCTCCAAATTAAACAAACCAATCGAGGAATCTTCATTCACCAAGAAAAGTACATCTCGGAGCTCCTCAAGAAATACTCAATGGACACTTGTGCCTCTGCCAAGGTACCTATGGGTTTCGGACACAAAATCTTTTCGGACCCTTCATGTGTTGTTGTTGATGAAAAGAAGTACAGAGGAATGATTGGATCACTACTCTACCTTACAGCAAGTCATCCAAACATCATGTTTTCAACATGTTTGTGAGCCAGATTTCAAGTCAATCCAAAGATGTGTCATCTCTTGGCTGTTAAGCAAATATTATGATACCTCAAAGGTACAAAGAGTCTCAGAATCTGGTATCCAGCAAATGAGAGTTTCCTCCTTCAAGCATATTCCGATTTGAACTATGGTGGTCTTCAATTGGACAGAAAAAGCATATCTGGTGGCTGTCAGTTTTTGGGTGGTCGATTGGTTAGTTGGTCATCTAAGAAACAGAACTGTATTGCACTTTCAACAGCTGAAGCGGAACACATTGCTGCTGCTAGCTACACATCTCAAGTTCTTTGGATGAAATAACAGCTCTTGGACTATGGTTATCGGTTTCAACAAATTCCAATCTATTGTGATTCGCAAAGTGTCATTGCAATTTTGCCCAATCCAATTCAGCACTCAATGACGAAACACATCGATATACAATACCATTTCATTAAAGATCATGTATTAAATGGTAACATCAAACTTATTTTTGTTCCATCTGACGATGAGATTGCTGATGTCTTTACTAAGGCATTAGACGAAACAAAATTGAATGGTTTTCTGAACAAAATGGGTATGATGATGCCTAATCCTCAATTCTTTCAAGAGATTTGTACTTTTTTCATCTCGGAATTACTTCCTCTCGGAATAAACATGATCATTTTACGTGACTTTTTGTCTAACCATCTTTTCTAGTTTTAAGTTGTACAGCTCACCTCATCATATGGAGTTCATGTCCAATATAGTCACATTGGTATTAACCTCACCTTGGAACATACTTCATAAGTATAATAAGAAGATCATATCAGAATTCAAGCCTGAAACGGTATTGAATTTCCATCACCTTCTATGTCCGAGATCAGATCCTTCTTGTCTCGAAGTCTCACAATCTGTTTAACA